CTAAGACGTCAGAGTATCACCTTAGGGTACGGAAAATCCCTTCTCACCAACCCCTCCCGACGTCATATTCTTCCACCCCTAAGACGACCATACTCCATGAAACTACGTCTTGACACATCATCCCTTCTTAAAGAGTTTAGGTGCCGCACGGAACGGTTTTATCGTTCCCCCGTCCCCTTCATTATCAGACTCTTGAACCAGTCAATCTGAACCCTATTGCGACTTATCCTATTGTTGAATCTCGTTGTCTTGTGACATGTTTGTATCTCACGACGGGACCTAATTTGCGCAGCACAACAGTCCCCGATTTTGGAATAAACCCATTATTATTATTATTATTATTATCATATGTAAGAAAAATGTTTGCCCCCAAATGTGTACCCCTAGTGCATCTACCTCTAAAGTCAGATGTTTTCTAAACTCTGCATCCGAAAAGGTACATGTGTACCAAATTTCAGATTTATATATATTTATATCTATTAGACATATATATAATATATATAGACGATGGTGACTGACTGACCGACTGACTGACGCTAATTCTAACCATGTTCTAGAAGGTTTAGAAATCTGAAACTAGGTGCACATGTACATTTTGGGATGCAGAGTTTAGAAAAAAAATCCCACTTTGGGGGTACGTGCCCTGGGGGTACACATTTTGGGGAGAAACGCTTTTCTTAAATATGTTTTGTGACAGATAAGGATGGCATTCAGAAAGTCAACTGTAAGTGCTGGGTTCGGTGGTGTAGTAGAAGCATATCTGACTGACAATCAGAAGGTACAGGTTCAATTCCCGGTCGTTCTTTGGCTTACTTTTGGCTTTCTTTGGCCTTCCATGTCTGGTTACTCATTCCCCCTCCATAACAATATTTTTGCTTGAGTAAAACGGAGAGACATAGAAGGCTGAAACCTGGCATAGAGGTGCCTACCGACATGGTGAGTTTAGGAAAAATGCTAAATATTAGATACATTCCCTGGGGGCATATATTTGTGAGCTGAAGTTTTCAAGTTTTTTTTTGCCCAGGCGTATTGAGCTAGTGTGGAAAGATGAAACTTGGTACATAACTACCTATTGGGAAACTGCAGAAAAGTTCAGACTTTGTGAAGTATTGGGTTGGAAAGAAAGTCTTGCAACACTCTGCGCAAATTTTTCAAAATGTTATAACTTTATTGAAATGCAATTTCAGTCTACAATGTAATGACCATTGTTGTCTATGACATGTTCCCAACGCACGGGTAACTGCTCAATGCCCTTTGCGCAGAACTCTGGCGATTGCAAAGCGAAGAAACGACCGACATCATTTTCGAGCTGTGCTCGATTGTCGAAGGCCTTGTCCTGCAGGTGATTCTTGAGGGCCCGGAACAAGTGATAGTCGGAAGGGGCCAAGTCTGGAGAATACGCTGGATGGGGTAAAACTTCCCAGCACGGTTCCGAAATCGTCTGGCGAGTCATCTTCGCAACATGTGAACGAGCGTTGTCAGGCAGAAGGAGAACTTTGTCGGTTTGGGACGCTCTTTTTGAATAACGCCATCCAACTTCTGAAGTTGAGCAGCGTAGACGACGGCAGTCAGGGTGGTGCCGGTTGGCAGGAGTTCATAGTAAAACATTCCTTCTGAATCCCACCGACAGCAGAGAAGAACCTTCTTCCCGTGGAACCCTGGTTTCGGTTCGTGTGGCGGCAATTCCCCTCGTGGAAGCCACTGACTCTTGCGAGTATGGTCGACGTAGACGACCCAGCTCTCATCTCCAGTAACGATTTCCTTACCTTCTGAATCCCACCGACAGCAGAGAAGAACCTTCTTCTCGTGGAACCTTGGTTTCGGTTCGTGTGGCGGCAATTCTCCTCGTGGAAGCCACTGACTCCTGCGAGTATGGTCGACGTAGAGGACCCAGCTCTCATCTCCTGTAACGATTTCCTTCAGAATCTCCTTTCTGTGCGGACGAAGGAGAAGTGATTCGCCGACAATGACACGGCTTGCTTTGTCAGAGTCGCTGAGCCGATGAGGGACCCATGTCGAGTAAACCTTCCGATAGCCGAGGTCGTTCAGATGGTTTCCGATGGCCATATGGGTGACTCCAAGTTTAGTCGCCGATTCTGTTTGATTCTTACTTGGCCGACTCAGGCTTTTGTCCTACTTTCCTGCCAAAAACATGGTTTGGTCCATGTGAATTGTCATGGATACCATCTGCATGCCTTCTATAGTAATGACCGCTTGGAAAAGAGGGAAATTACTCATTAATCCTATAGATACTACTTGAGAATGGCAGTGTCAATGTGCTTGGGGGCGACTACCTTGAATGTTTCTTTTTTCAGTTGACCCAAAATCCAACCTGTCCCAATAATAGGGACGAGTATTCAATAGACCAATGGGAATCTGTGCCATTTGGTATCTATTTCTTTCGATCTGGAGAATGGCAGTGTGCATGCTCCAGACCAAAGGGAATTGGTGCCAAATGGCAGGCATTCCCTTTGGCCGATATTTGAATGTTGGGGATTACTCTCTTGCTTTCTTCATCAGTAAGACTATTCCAGAATGATGGATCCATTTTATAGGCAGAGTCCTTCCTACTCCATTTCTTGGAGTTCAGACAAACACAGGTATAATCTTTTAAGAGCACTTACATAACAATTTATTGTCTGTGATCATGCAAACAAATTGAATTCATCAAACCAACAATTTGGGAAACCTGAAAGCATTATTTACTGGAAAAGTGAGGAGCACCAAACTTCAATTAAAATCAAGTACTCAATACTGAGACTTATTAAAGCATTTCATGCTGGAAACAGGATTTTCACTAAGAACTCAAACTCAATGTAAGGTCTTATACTCTACGATGCATACAGAATGAAGAACAAAAAATGTATATGAGTCACACTGCAATATCTTGAAACAAGTTCAAAATATTCCATAAGTCTTCGACATATTGCAGGTTCAGATGAGATTTGATGCACGATGTTTACCACCTTCCACATTTTCCCGGAATAAGATTAAAGCTGGGTGTAGGCAAGCTCCACCTTCCATCTCTATGAAATCATCATCTGCCAGATGAGGGATAGATTGGAATTATGCATCATTTCTTAATTTTAGATGGCACTTAAAGGCATTCACTAAGTCATCTCCTACATGACATACAGAACTGACCTGGAAGAGGCTATTCTTCATGTTCATGGGACAGCGCGATATGGTGAATGCATCCCTGCTGAGAAGCATTGGAAAAGAGTCCTTTTGCATCCTCCGCTGATCTCTGAAGGGGCAGGAATTCCAGCAGGTGAGAAAAGACAAAGCCATGATCCAATGCTTCTGTTAAGTTTGGTAGGGGGATATAATACATGACTGACTAAGAATTAGACTCATCTCCATCCTGGAGAAAATTGCTAACAGAATCCTTCCTCCCTTGGGAGCCTCCTCACTGTCCTTCCATGTGTGTAAGCAGATATTTCCTGGAAGGAAGGAAAAACAGAATGCACGAAAAAAGAAATAATCATTGACAGTGTTTCCTCGAAGTTTGCCAGCCGTGCATTCTTATTTTTATTACAGCTACTTATTCAAGAATGCATCTCAATGAAACAATCTCTATGAACAGAATGGTAGTTTTGCTTCTTTAAGTTTCCCAAAATACAAATTCTTATTAAAAAAGAGAAAATGTAATACTTCACATAACTGACCATGAAAAATTTAAATCTATACTTCCTCTGAGATGCGGTCTTGTTGGATCGTCATGCGGTCATCTGTTTCTTGATAGAGCCGCTTCAGTTCTGCAGCTGTTTCACTCGTCAGTCGCTGACTTTTCTCAGTGAGTGTAAACCCCCATAGTAGAAGGGATTCACGATGAACAGATGACGTGCTGTTGGTTCCTGACATGGGCTTCCACGATTTGGGATAGCCTCCCATATACCAGTGGATCTTCACTGTATCGCCATCTTCTATTGTCTGAACCTCTCCCAACCAAGGACGGGAAACCTCATCATATGTATAGATGGCTGCGAGCATTCCTAGCTGGAGATCTTCAGTCCCACTAAATGCCCCCTGTCCCCTGTGAAACAAGTCACTTAAAATTCCTTCACTATGGCCTCACATTAGGCCATATGTGACTTTTTGTAACTGTGACATAAGCCTACCAGTTTCTGAAGAGCCTTCGAATGACTTGACAGGGGAGGGAATCGTCATCGTCGTTGATGCTGATGCGTTCCAGGAATCACCATCATGATCGGGTGTCTGGCAGGCTTGCAGGAAATCTGCCAATATAAACCGAACATCACTTCACATCATCATTAAGTAAAGTCTTTATGCATCAGGGACCTAAACATCCAGGGAAATGATTACAACTGGTGCTATGAAACGAAAACGAGAACAATTGCTCAATAATGGTGGAACTCAGATTCAGGATTCAGGAGTTCCAGCTAATGCATGCAACAGACAAAAATACGTATGAAAACAGGATGAATTGAAGGTTGGAGCAGGTTGAACAGTAATGCCCTGTGTTTCCTGATCAAGCTTGAGTGAAGTTAATCCTCCCTGCCTAAGTAGTGTGCCGTATTTAATTTATAAGCGTGTCGATAGGTAGGCAGATCAGTTGCAGAGTTCAATGATTCTCGAGCTAATTGGAAGTCTTGGATAGAGATGAGCTGGCCGGCCCGCGGCCCGCGGGCAGCCCGCCAGTCGACTGTGCTCGGGAGGTCCGTGCGGGTTCGTTTATGTAAAAACCCCCAGCGCGGTGGGGCCTCTATCCTGCCCTCCAGCCAAAATGAGAGCCCACTTCTCAAAAGAGAAGGAAGCGCGGTCATCCCAGGCAGTTACAGGCTCGCATCAACATTAGTGATGGCATTGGGAAGAAGACAGAAGGAAAGCGAGAATTGAATGAGTCTCTTCTCTCTGTTAAGTTCTTGTGAGAGATCCTAACGCCATTCCTTCTTATTCAATACTTTTTTTTGCCGTACTTAGTAATCCTTTCATAAGAGAACAAGAATCTTTACGAAGAAGCGTCCGCTTGCGGGAATGGATCCGGGCTAGAAGGCTTCATACATAACCTTTTTCCCACCGATGGCCGCAAGGGACCAGCCAGAGTCGATATAACGCTGTACGCGATTCGATTGGTTGGACGGCGGAATAGGGGCCCCATCGAGCTATGGTCTTGTACATAAGCGGCCAGGCTGGGCCCGTCCACATGGAATAATTAATTTCCTTTCTCCGCTTTACCTTCACAGGATGGAGAGAAGTCGTCTAGGCGGGCCATAAGGCCCGCGAGTCGACTCAGTGGGGAAGTCTCGTAAGTCAGATCCGGACTCTGGCCTGTATTTGTTTCTCCTCCTCTCAACCTCGTAGGTGAAGAGGATTAAAATACTCAAAATCCACTTTCTTCATTGCACATGGAAGCGCCCTAGGAGACATTAAATTGAATCAGTGGTACCTGCCTCTATTCTTCGACTCGGTGGGAAAAAGTTACTAAAATTATTTTTTGGGCCGGAATCGGACTCGACCAGAGGAGGAATAACATTAATCAAACCGGTGCAGGGTGGGGCTGATGGAATCGGAAAAGGTCGGGCTTAGGCCACAAGAGGAGTAATGGCAGTTCGGTCATTGAAATTGAAATAATTGAAAAATCATGGTACCAAGAAAACATCCTCATCCTGCAACGAACTAATGCAGGAGGATCGCATTTGAAGCGTCATCCCAAGCAACCATTCGAGAATAATTGGTATGTCTAAAAATTCAAAACTTACATGAGGAAGATGGAACAGAATAAGAGACATCCATGATGTGAAACGACAAGGGAATATGTTTTTCCCTCAATTTACAGCTGGTCCTGTCTCGAATCTCAGAGTACTAAAAAATAACTGCACTATGAGGGCATATCTTCGCAAGGATATATGCAATGCAATTGTAAGAAGCAACCAGAACTGGAATATGTGAAGAAATAAACTTTAAACGTTACTTTCATACTACCTTGACTCTTCACACATTAACTCGTCTGAAAATAGAAAAACGGGAATTAAGTTGGCATGTGAAGCGGAATTGGGGGTGGAAAGAGATGGGAGGGGGAAGGCTTCGCAAGAGGAAAAAAAAACAGTGATGAGGAAGAGAAACAAACCCTATGCGAAAAACGGGTTCAGAACGTTCCACACTCCCATCACTCTCATAAGGAGAAGACTGACTGGTATGGAGATGGAATCTTCGTTTCCCCCTCCCCAGCCCGCCCTCATTGGCCCATATCCTTTGACGAGCCACTGAAACAGCATTGCTTCTCCTCTAGACCTCTTTTTCAGATCTGGACATCGCAGCAAGGTATACCGATTGATCTATCTATATACCCTGCATACCAGTGCTGACCTCGTCCAAATTTCACTTCATTCAACATAGGAATTTTAGCTTGTTTCAGACGAGACAATTTTTAAAGGCCTTTGGCTAAAAAAAAAGGAACAGAAGCGCGTGGAACGGGAAGTGAACACAAGAGAGAAAGCAATCAGGAATGAAATTATCCAGAAATGCACAATCCTTTCATCGATTTTGTACCCCTGTTTTAATACTGGAAGGTTCCACGGGATTCCCTGGGAGTGCCACGCATGTGTCCCTTTTGGGAATACTTAGTAGGTTCCTAAGCAGCTCACTGGATGTCGTCCCGTCTCCGTCCCAAATGAACTATTCCGTGTGAAACAGGGACCTTCACAGATCCAGTGCCCCTCCACCCCCCGCCCGTGCAATATTTGGACAATCCCAAGAGGGGGAGAGAGGAAAAAAACAACCTTCAGACTCTCTGGAAAGAGAGCATCGGCTGCGTGAGGCTATACCTTTGTCGATTTTCCTACACAAAAGACACGTCTGTTTAATTTAAAAGAAAATAACAAAGAACCTCTTCATACGAATGACGGTCGTATCAAGCTATCGCGCCAAGAGAAGAAAATTGGACGGGTTCACCGTCCTCGTCGCCGGCCTCCCTGCTGCGCATTTTCGCTCTCGCTCCGATGCGAACCAGGGTCTCGAAATGTAGGCGATTTTTGGTAGCGGCGATTCCGATATCATGGTCGTCACGTTCTCGGTCTCGAATTCAATCACAGATTCTAACCGTAGGCCTGTGCGTGTGAATTAAAACGCGACACGCGCGCACGATCGTTGGCTTGGCCGCGGATGCCTATGCGTGGGAGAAGAATGCCGTGTCGTCGGTCGACGTGTGGCTCAGAAAATTGCTCCTTGAAGCGAGACCGACCACATCCACAATAGATTCAGCACGCCAAGAACCAGAGAAGATGAAAAGATTTTGCCAAAAAAATAACAAAAAAACATGGACTATTTCGTCCTCGCACCGAGGATACGTGACCTCCGTGGCCTTCTCTGCGCGCTTCATCTCTTCATCGGCAGCTTTCTCTCTGGCTGAATATCGTTCCAGTGGAGGGATTCATTACACTTCAGGAACGAGGAGCTCTAGCTCTCCCGTGGAAGTCGCGTGTGGTGGTGGGGCGGGGCCATCGTCACTGCCGATCCGGGGCCCTGCACTCCCTCCTCGATTACCCCACGCACACGTCCGTGTGCGACAGTGTACATGCCCGACCGGCCACCGAGGAGTGCCATTCCCTCAAATGCGACGCACTCCCGGTTCGTCCACACTTTTCCGCTGCCCACCTCCCGAAATACGAGCGGATCGACCACAGTAAACGTGCTATCCAGACAATGTTCGAAGGGATACGAGCGAGACGGCGCCGGTCCCACGAACGGTTTTCTTCAATTCGGCGCCTGGTGATTTTGGCTTATGTAAGGAACCGGGAAAGGGCTTTCGCCCATGGGCGCGCCGGCGAGAGGGGCCCTTCCCCCTGCTCCGCGCGACCACCCGGGTGTCCCACAAAAAATCTGCTCCCTTCGGGGGAGGGGGGGGGGGGGGGGGGGGGGGGGGATGTCCCACAAAAAATCTGCTCCCTTCGGGGGGGGGGGGGGGGGGAGGGAGAGGACGTCGATCAAGACCTGGGCCTGGCTCAGGAATTCCCCAGACCTTGGCTGGCGCGAGCCGAAATGCCTAAGGTGAAAAGAGGGCACGGCCCGAGTAGACGCGCTTATTTTTTTTTCACAGGAATTTCCCGAGAATATATTCCTGTCAAAACAAGGCCCAAATTAACTCCGCATTGGCACGATCTTTGTAAAACCCATTGACAGAATCTGCATAGATTTTCTTCCCTTGTTCCTACAACTGAGATTTAGGAGACTTTTGACTCAGCAAGAAATATTTAAAAAACAGCAACAGCCGCAAAACCATCATCCTCCAACTAGAGTGTTGACTCCTACACTTTCCTTCAAGAATAACATGTTCCTGTATGCCCAATTCACGAACTTGTGAAGTTGTAAAGGGTGCAATCCTCTTGCTTAGTCTCCGAACGTCAGCTGCATCTCGTCATAATTTACAAATATTTCAGTGAATGTCGTTTAATTCCGTGGAGGTAAAATCGTACTTAGCGAGTAGGAATCGTCACAAATAATGGATTTTGCGATGGTCATTGTATATATGTGAGCAGAGTAGACTATTTTGGCAACCATGCTTTTCCAATGATCTGGAACTTTCTGGCACTTTCCAAATAAAAAGATAAACAATGCATACATTGAAGCAATATGTATTTAATTCAATGAAATGAAAATTTCCACAATTGCATTGACCCGTTGAAAGATTTTCGTGTGCTCTTGGCATACTTCTTCGTCAGAGGGCAGAGAAAAAGCACTGAATCAGCCGCCGAGAGAGCTGCAAAATAAATGCAAGGATTTCAAAATAAAATAATCAAATATGGGTGCAAATTTCGTTAGTTTCCCGCCCCGGCCCATCATTTCTATTTATTTTCAATTGGAAAAAGTGAAGAGAGAGAGAGAGTCTTACGTAGAGAGGCTGAAGCCACCTGACTTGCAAATAGGACTCTCGCCGAGCCAGTTGTGAAATCTTGAGCTGCCTTCTGACTCTCCCGGCGACAAAGGAGTCCTGTGATTGCAGTGGCTCGTCCAGCCTCCATTTTTAGGCATGCATAACATGCCAAAAAATCAGCAAATCTAGGTTCCTTCGTCATGACGATGGTCTTCCTGTTTGCTGCATCGTTAAGAAAGGTTGAAGGGAAGAGAAATGCATTATTTCAACTTAATGTTTCAACAGTAAATTGAAAGGAATCCTAAGTGCATGCACATCAGGGATGAGTTAAATGTTGACTGGGGTTCAAATTAGATTTAAAGCGGAGTCATGTCGCCATTTAAAATCCAACAATGATGACCGGACCAATAGGTAAGCCAATGCAGT